GAGCTCCACCGAAGGCGCCAGTGGCAGGGTTCGCATGGCGGCCTCGGGCCATTTCGGCACACCCCTCACGAGGATCGTGGCCCCATAGGGAGCTCCACTGAAGGCGCCAGTGGCAGGGTTCGCATGGCGGCCTCGGGCCATTTCGGCACACCCCTCACGAGGATCGTGGCCCCATAGGGAGCTCCACCGAAGGCGCCAGTGGCAGGGTTCGCATGGCGGCCTCGGGCCATTTCGGCACACCCCTCACGAGGATCGTGGCCCCATGGGGAGCTCCACCGAAGGCCCCAGTGGCAGGGTTCGCATGGCGGCCTCGGGCCATTTCGGCTCACGAGGACCGTGGCCCCACTGGAGCTCCACCGAAGGCGCCAGTGGCAGGGTTCGCATGGCGGCCCCGGGCCATAGCGGCACATCCCTCACGAGGATCGTGGCCCCATAGTTGCGCTGCTTCAACAACCGCGCATGGGCGTCGTACTCCGCCTTGTCGATGTGCAGCGCCACCTCCTCCCTCATGGCTCTCAAGGCCTTCTCCTGCTTCTGCTCCTCGGTGAGAGGGATGCCGTCCTTGTCGTCGTCGGCGCCCGCGAAGACGGCCACGAACGTGTCCCTGAGCATGTCGGGCTCCGGCGGGAAGCCGTGGCCACATAGGGAGCGCAGGCGAAGATGGCATTCACAATTGCGGCATTCACAACTGCATATGGTTGGGTCCTTCGCCAGGATCATTTTTGTAGCGCGCGTTGTAGGCAGTTCCAGCAAGAATGGTGGCGTGCTTTGACAATATAGGCCTGCGCGCGGACGCCTCTGAGAGAAACATTTTGAGTTAGATAGAACGTCGTATCGTAATTACCAGGATTAGGATTTACTGTTAGGAACCTGCATCGGCATATAATTCGAGTGGATTTTGAATAAGAGGTGCCTGCAGCTAGAACACGAATTCCGAATCACAGCGAACTGTAGTTCTGAAATGTCTGATACCTTGGTTGGAAAGTGATATACACTTTTAAATCAAGAGGTTGCGTTCTACCCGTTCAAATCCAGATTTCGAAAGGGACCATAATCACATATATTCAGTTCATACTGGCCAGATAATGGAGTTGGAAACGAGTTTGCACATTGCAATCTGCAGTTCTACTAGAATGTATGCACATTTTCAAGTACAGAGCTAGACCTGATTCCAATCACAGAGAAATTTCATCAGAGTTTACAGGTAATTGAGTTCGACATGCTTTTACATATTGAGATCCAGAGCCAGAACGGATTTTACATGTTTGAACCCAGAGGACACGCAAATTCCGAATGACAGATATATTCAAATATGAATTACCAGGGAGTTGAGTTGGAGAGGGACTCACAGACTGAAGCCCAGAGCCAACACAGATGTTTCTAGTTCGCACCCCGAGTTCGTGATACTCCCAGAATCGTCAGGTAATTCAGGTTGAGCGGGGTTAACATATTGAAATCCAGGGTTCAAACGTATTCTGCGCATTCTGATCCAGAGGCAGCACGCAACCAGAATCACAGAGAAACTCAACTCATAACGGATAGACAATTGGTGTGGTTTGAAGAGGGGTTTTCCATATTAGAATCTTGAGTGAGAACGGATTTCACACATTCTACATCCAGAGTAAGAACTTATTCCGAATCACAGCGACATCTAAATCAGACGTGCGAGAGCATTCAGTTGGAGAGAACCTTACACAGTACAGTCAAATATCCAAAATGTTCTACACATTCAAATCCAGACAGGATTGGATTCCGAATCACAGGGGGGTTCACATCACCATGGCTTGATAATTGAGGTTGAGCGGAATTTGCAGTTTGGACTCCTGAGTTAGACAGGGGTTTGCACATTTTAGGTCCATCGTTAGACAGGAGGCCGAATCCAGAGTTCGACAGGATTCCGAATTTAGAGCTCTATGATTCGATATGCCCCTCCAAACCCTAGGTTTCAAATATGTAAGATGCTTTCTCTTTGTGGACACCAGTAGCAAAATCCTTTTTCAAATTTAATTATCTGACACTGCTGGATTTAGGTTTGCTGTGATTCATAGTCTTTTCCAGTTTGGGGAATCTAATTGATAATCTTCTTTCCAACTCCAGACTTCAAGACATACATTCTACTTCGGTTTACCCATCTGGCAATTCTGATCTGATCGTCAGTGCGATTCGGAATCCATTCGAACTCTGGATTATGATACATATCATTTGCAACTCTAGCTTTCAACATGTAAATGCATGTTCAGCTCAATTCTATTTGGCTATCCTGAGTTGATTTGCCTGTGAGTCGAAACCTTCTCTAACTCTGGCTTTTCATATTTTAACACGGGGAACGGTTCCTAAGTGTGGATTTCAAGATGCAAGTGTTTCTTCACGTCAATGTTTGGACACGTCTAGTTTGATTGGTTCGCGATTCGCGATTGGACATCCGTTGGATCTTTGCATTCCAATATGTAGAACCCTTTCTAACATAGGACTACAATACGTGGATTCCTCTCCAAGTCAATTTTCTGGCAATTCTGATTTGAATGTCTCCATGACTCGGAATCCTTTCTAGCTGCGGATTTACTGTGTCAATTGTTGTTCTAATTACGGGGTTCAATCTGCAAATGTCTCTCCAACTCAATTTCCTGACCGTTCTGATCTGAACGTCTGCGATTCGGACTCCTTTTTTAAGTTTGAATTCTAATGTATACTACCTTCTCTAACTTTGGATCTCATGTAGATCTTCTCCAGTGGCTTATGTTGCAGCTCTTGCTTGTGTTCTTATGTGTCTTCGGAATCCGTCTTAACCTTGGATTCTAATGTGTAGGCATCTTACTGCTTGGTTATAAGACTGTGTACATTCCGCTCCACTTCGTCCCTCTGACATTCTGATATGAACGTCTGTGATCCGTAACCATTTCTAAGTTTGTTCTTTAATGCGTAGCATCATTTTTAAGTCTTGACTGCAATCGGTGAATTCCACTGCAGCTGACTTCTCTTGCTATTTTATTTCGAAGTGCTCTGTGGTTCGGACTCGGTTTGACGGTTCCATGTTCAATACGTTTGATATGTTCGAACTCTCGATGGTAGTGCCAATTCTTGGCAACACTCCATTATGTGGCAATGCTGGTTTGATTTTCGTTGCGAATCGAGCTCCTTTCTAACTCCAGAACTACGATACGGATTCTAAAATCGTTTGGGCTCTTGGTTTCAGTATGCACCTGTCTCTCCAATTCAATATGTTTGGCCTTTCTGATTTGGACTTATCTGTGATTATGCATCTTATCTCTGAATTCGAACGGGCATTCTCTGGCAATTCTGATTAGAAAGCCTATGCGAGTTTGATGTCTAAACCCCTCTCCAATTCAATGATCTTGAAATTCTGATTCCAATTCCTCTGCGATTTGGAATCCTTTCCAAATCGGGTTCCTAACATGCAGCATCCATATGAAAATCTGTACTTCAGTATGTAACTTCCTCTCCAACTCGATGTTCTGGCCATCCTGATTTGGATTTCTCTGTGACTCGGAGTCCTATTTAAGTGTGAATGTTGATGTGTAACATCCTCTGTGTCTGAATTTCAATATATATATACATGCCTCTCCAAATCAATTATCTGGCAATTCCGAATTCAATTCATTTCTGATTCGGAATCCTTGCAAACTCGGGTAGTGATACAGAACAGCTATAATATTCAATGTTCCGATATCGTAACGAAACAAACTCATGGTAACATAACGTTGTGTCTTTCATAGTCGCAAGAGTTCACGGACCCAGCTAAGAACATACACGCGGCAAATGCGCAGGACCGCCAGCATTGCCGCCTGGTTGTGTCCAGGAGACAAACGCCCCTCATGGGGGCGGAATCGCTAGCACGGATAAGCTCACGAATGCACGACCTACCGTGCTAGTAAACACACGCTTTTAAATAGTCGCAAGAATTCACATAACCCGTCCTGCAAGGCAACACACATGCTGCAAGTGCGCAGGACCGCCGGCACTGCCGCCGCGGTGTGTCCTGGAGGCCAGCGCCTCGCATGGTGACGGAAACGCTAGGATGGATCAGCCCACGGATGCCCAAACTGCCGTTCTAGTAATCAGACGCCTTTCACAGCCGCAGGTATCACATTATCTCTAACTAGACCAAGAACATGAGGAAAGTGCTGAGGATCGCTGGCATTGCCGCTAGTTTGTGTCCTGGAGGGCAACGCCTCGCATGCTGGCGGCATCGCCAGGACGGATGAATGAACTCACGAATGCCAGAGGTACCGTGTTAGTAGTTAAAGCACCGCCCTGTTCGCAGTCGCGTGCGTCGCGCATAAAGCCAATTTGGCAAACGTAGAATGCAAGTGCTGTATCACAGCGCAGATTGAACGCACTTGATGAAATCGCGGCGAACAAACAGGGTGCTGCCATGTGGAGGTAAAGACCTCGTGCGTTCGAATTCCAAAGACAGGCTGACTCGGAAGGAAGGTATGAAGGAGCCAGCATATGGTGTACAGCTTCCTGACATGTCGAATGAGCAGTTGCTCGCTCGGTATGGCGGCTTCCAATTGGGATTGACAAGGCCCCAATGTGGAACCGGATTGCCTGTGTCGCCCTGGTGGCGTAACTGCACAGCGCTCAGGGGAGGTGCCCTTCGGAGACGAAAAGGTCTCCTTACAGGTGCCCCGTGCGTCGCTCCCCGACTACCCAAGAGCCCTGCGCATCATTGGCACTGGGAGGAGAAGGGGGAGGAGGAGTGGGAGGGGGAGTAGGGAAGTCCTTTTTCATTCTTCTCCTTGTCCTCCTCTACGGTTGTCATGTTCTCCTTTCTCCTCATCTCTCCTCTGCCTCCGTCTCGTCTTTCCCCTTCTCCTCCTTCTCGTCGTCGTCGTCCTCCTCCTCCATCTCCTTCTCATCTCCTCCTCCCTCGTCTCCTCCCTTTACTCCTCCCTGGATTCCTCTTCAGCCTCTTTTTCCTCCTCGTCCCTCCTCTCTCCCGCGAGACGTGCTTTCCTCTTCGGACTGGTTGTTGGGAGGACTCCGCCTCACGGCTCGCCGCGGAGCCAGCCTACTCCGCAAAGGTGGAGGAGGCCCGCGGGAGGGCGCTGGGCGTCGTCGTCGTGGTCGTCGCCGTAGGGGCGCGAGGGATGTAAAGGAGGAGGAAAGAGGATGATGATGAGGAGGAGGAGGAGGGGGAGGATGGGCGAGGAGGAGAGAGGATGTGACAGAAGGGGTGAGAGAGGTTTCCTCCCTGCTCTCTTCTCCTCTCTACTTCCTTCTCCTCGACCTCCTCGCACGCCCAGACCGCCCCCTGCGCGCCCTCCTGCGCCTCCTGCCCCCTCCGCGCGCCGCGGTGGAGGCCATCGCGCGGGCCAAGTGGCCCCGGTGGGTGGAGACGCCCACCTCGGCGGCCACCCCAGTGAGTCGCCTCACGGGCTAGGCGCCCGCATGCCGGGCCGGTGGGAAGGGGGGCGGCGGATGGGGGGAGGAGGAACGGGGGGGGGGAGGAAAAGGAGGAAAAGGGGGGGAGGAGGGAGGGAGGAAAAGAAGGACGGAGGACAGAGGACGGAGGAGGGAGGATGGAGACGGGAGGAAGAGAGGAGGAAGGCGGAGGGAGGGTGCAGGGAGGAGGGAGGAGGGGGGACGGAGGGAGGAGGGAGGACGGAGGGCGGAGGACGAAGGAAGAGGAGGAGGAGGAGGAGGAGGAGGAGGAGGAGGAGGAGGAGGAGGAGGAGGAGGAGGAGGATTAGGAGGAGGAGGAGGAGGAGGAGGAGAACGGAGGACGGAGGACGGAGGACGGAGGATGGTGCGTTTGGGCGCTCCGCTTGGGCGCTGCGTTTGGGACCCGCGCTGGGGCGCCGCCCTGGGGGGCTGCGCTGGAAGGCCGCGCCGGAGCGCCAAAGATCGCCTCTTTGGATCCTCTTTGCGGCGTTCTTATTTACTCTTTGGGCCGTCCTCGGTCAACATTGGGTCTCTCTTGGGCCCTTCTTGGAGCCGTTCTCATGCCTCGGAAGTCCAGCGGATGCGGGAAGGCGAAATGGCGCAACACATCGATTCTTCTCGCTTCGCGGGGTGCACGTCCGGAGCACGTACAGTCCAGTCGTTTCGGAGTGTCCTGGGAGCTCTTGGGGGTCTTGTGGAGGCTTCTTGTGGGCATCTTGGGGCTTGTTTGGAGCCTCTTCGGGGCTTTTTGGGAGTTTCTTTTCCTTCTCCCCTCCCCCTCCTCCCTTCAAGCGCTGGCTCTGATCACGGACGCCGCCGTGACCAATTTCCATCTGGCTGGCGCTGCGCCGCGGTTCGCCCAGGGCGGGATATTATTGTTTAGTGACGCACCGAGGGTGTTTCAGAGCACGTTCAGTCCAGTCGTTGTGGGGCCTCCTGGAGCCTCTTGGAAGCTTCTTAGGGGCTTTTTAGAGCCTCTGAGAGGCCTCTTTGGAGCCTCTTGGGGCTTCTTGGGGACGTCTTGTGCCGTCTTTGGGCACTCTTACGCCGTCTGGCCACTTCGGAAGCCTCTCGCGGCCGCCTTGGGGCTCTCTTCGGGTCCTCTGGGGCCGTCTTGGGGTCTTCTTGGGCCGTCTTGGAGGTTTTTTTGGCTGTCTCGGGGCCCTCTTGGGCCGTCTTGGGGCCCCCTTGGAGGCCTCTTCGGCCGTTTGGGGGCCTTCTTGGTGGAGGCTGCTTGGGCCGTCATGGCTTTCTGAGAGCCGAAAAAAGCGCGAACGTTGATATTGCCCCAAAACCATTGGAAAATCAAAGATTTTGGCCTCCGGAGGCGCTCTCGGGAGTCTTCTTGGGGGTCTCTTGGACCTTCTTGGGGGCCTCTTGGGCCCTCTTGGGGTCATCTTGGGCCGTCTTGAGGCCGTCTTGAGGCGGTCTTGGGCTGTCTTGGGGTCACCTTGGGCCGTCTTGAAACCTTCTTGGAGCCCCAAGAGGCCAACAAAAACCGAAATCAGATAACAATGTAACACAATGCAATATGTAGCAATTACGCAATCATTGGATACATGGGATACATTAGGGCTTCCGCTCCGCTCCGCGACCTGCCTCCGGCAACACGTCACTCCCGGACGTGGGTTCTCTAGGCTTACGCCACATCCGCCGACCCCACTCCTCTGTAAACTATTGCGCCTCCAGGACTGGACTGCATTCCACGAGGCGTGTCCGAATCATGACACGGCTTGTCCGTCGGGATGTCGTGGCGAGGATTCGCGCGGGGGCCTCTTCGAGGCAGTTTCGAAGGGTCTTGGGGGCCGTTTTGAGGCTTCTTTTGAGCCTCTTGGGGGCTCCTTGGGGCCTCTTGGGTGCTGCATGGGGGCCTCTTGGGGCCACTTGGGGCCCTTTTGGGTCCTCCGGAGAGCTTCGTTGGACGGAGCGTTGGAATTCGCGGTTCGTGGTCCCTCTCTTGGGCCCTTCTTGGAGCTCTCTTGGGCCGTCTAGGGCGCCTGTTGGGCCACGTTTGAGTTCTTTTGGGTTGTCTTTGGGGCCTCCTGGGAGCCTCGTGGGCCGTCTTGGGGTGGTCCTGGGGGCCTCGTGGGGGCCTCGTGGACGTTTTCCAACGCCGTGAAGGCTAACAAGTTGGAGATGCTGAAAACTCGCGTTTTTCCCATTCAAGATTTTCGTTTCTTGGGGGCTTCTTGGGGGGCCTCTTGGACGCTTCGTGGGGTGTCTTGGCGGCCTCTTGGGCCGTTTTGAGCTTATCTTGGGCGTTTTGGAACGATCTTTCGGCGACCTTGAGTTCTCGTGGACCGTCTTGGCGGCTTCTTGGGAAGCGTCAAGTGCTGTCGTGCAGCTCAAGAGCGAGCCCAGTGAGCCCAGACCGCCCCGGGTGAGTTCAGTCTGGGGCCACCCTCGGCTGGGGGAGGGGGTCGAAATCCCGGTTTGGGGTCCCTGGGGGGGGGATTATTGGGGGGAACCGTCTCACGCGCTTGGAGACCCACAAGGGGTCGGCGGATTTTCTACAGGTTTTGGGAGGATATTGGCGCTGCGCTGGGGATGCCGCGCTGGACCACCGCCCTCGAGGGCTGTCGCGCGAGGGTCGTCGCGCGCGCATGCCGAAATCTTTACAGCTTCTTAGTTGTCATACGGATGTTTTGAAGAACGAGTGTCCCGAGCACATAGACAGAACACATGATTTCACAACCAGAATTTCAAACAGGCCTGCGCGCGCATCCTGGCGGATTCTTCAGACAACCATAGGTTTTCCTGCATGTTCATCAATTGTGGTCAAGCGTGCCTCTCGCGCGCGCATGTCGAGATCATTCGAACGCCCTTGCGCGCATGCTGGGGGGGACAACCCCGTCAAATATACCATGCGGGCCACTCGCGCGCGTCGGCCGCCTGCGCATGTCGAAATGCTTAAAACTTCATCGCCGGCATGAGCGCACCATCATCGTCATCGGCGTGATCAGCAGCGACGGCAGCATTGGCCTTGCCGTCGTCATCGTCGTCACCGTTTACACCATCGCCTATTATCAGCGTGTCTTTCGTTGTCGACGCCGCCATGATATCGCGCCCGCCCGAAGCACCGACTCTTACTGGATGGCCCGCGCGACAGCGTGTCATGCGAGACGTGCTGAGGAGTCCAGCGGTCAGCCCCGCCGCGGCCGCGTCTGCCACGCCAGACTCTTTGGGCGCTTTGCGCGCGAGCTTGCGCGCAATAGCGCGGCCGCAGCGATGCACCAGCCGGCGCCAATCAGTCGTCGCAGGCGCAAGCCAGATTGCGGTCGGGTGGGTGGTATGATTGCGCGAGCATTGGAGTTGACAGTCATTGCGAAAGAAAGCTATCTGCATTGTGTAGGTTGCACCACTTGACTGCGCCACAAAGATGGCACCACAGGGACTGCACTGCGTAGTTTGCATTTGATCTGGTTGGTCTTGGTGGTCTGGTCTGTCTGGTTTGTCTGGTTGGTCGTGGTTGGTCTGGTTAGTTTGGTTGGTCTGGTTGCTTTTGTTACAATGCAACAAAACAAGCGGGGTGGTCAGGAACCCTCCCCTCGGCCCCCCCCCCGGGAAAATGAGCGGGGGGGTCCAGAACCTCTCCCCTTGTTTTTTCTCGCCACGGGGGTCCAGAAACCCCATTTCTTGGGAATCTCATTGTGGCTCCCCCCCAGGCGGCGACGACGACGACGACGGCGGCGGCGACGACGACGGCGGCGTCGACGACGACGACGACGCCGCACGACGCACGACGACGACGATGGCACCAACGCCGACGCTGATGCCGACGCCGACGCTGGCGACGACGCCGACGACGGCGACGACGCTGCTGTCGCTGCTGCCGCCGCCCACGACGACGACGGCGACGACGACAACGACGATGATGACGACGACGACGGCGACGACGACGACGGCGACGACGACGACGACGGCGCACGACGCACGACGCATGATGCACGACGCACGACGCACGACGACGACGACGACGACGACGACGACGGCACCAGCCCCGACGCTGACGCCGACGCCGACGCCGATGACAACGACGCACGACGCCGACGACGTCGACGACGACGCTGCCGCCGCCCCCGACGCCGACGACGGCGACGATACTGACGACGACGACGGCGGCGACGACGACGACGCACGACGCACGACGCCCGACGAACGACGACGGCGACGAGGGGGACGGCGGCGACGAC